TCAAGCCAAGCATAATGCGCTCGGGCATGACGTCGCACACACACGACTACAGTGATCGATCAAAGTAGTGCCATTAGGGATTTTTGGATGATACGTCCTCTTTACATTCTCTTTACATTTTCACAGAGAGAACATTTCCTGCAGGATTGCACGAGATATCTCTGCGGAGTAGCAAGGACAAAGGGCAGAGTGTATAATTCGAACAACGTGAACATTTAGCTAACATAGATACCAAGATGGAAGCTTTGGATCGTGTATTCGTGTCTGTGAAGTGTTGAAATGAAGCGAGCGTCGAACGAATTTTGCGATCACGCTTTCCTACCTTTCTTTATCCATGTTGTTTGGCACAGGCGACGCGTGCGGTTACTTGTGTGAGAATGAGCATTTCACCGCATTTACGGGTAATTATCGGCAATAATAGGCGACATAGAGTAGAGAAAACATTAAGACTGGTAGTAAATACATTTCGTGTTTACATTTTTTTATTTTATTGAGACGTTCAAGTGCCTGTGGTCACTGACACTGGTAGTAACCGAGGGAATTACCAGCGACAGTAGTCAGTACATCACTGAATTCAGACGCCGACTGCCTCTCACAATACAAATAGTGCTATATATAGCCTATAGCTTGTTAAGATATCGTGACAAAATACTGAAAATGATTAATATTCAGATACTTGATTCTCTTCCCTACTCTAAAACTTAATTAATCCATAATTGCCATTACTTTTTACAGACCTAGCTGAGACCGTACACTCCAGCTGATCCACTCAAGTTGCGGAGCTCTTCACTCCGTCGTACATCCAAGCATTGCATTTATCCGGTGACCAGACCCAGGGTCAACTTTGCACAGTGACAAAGCCATGGCCAGAAGGTGGAATGGACGCATGATCGCTGACGTTCTTCACAAGACCGTCGTCTCTGGTCTCATGGGACTCACTGTTGTGTGCAGTGGAATGATTGCTTATCAGACATACCAGTATTTCGCCTGTGAGTATAGAGAGGAGTGCTTTTTCTGTGAATGTAGTAGTATCTGTGTGTGTATATATAGAACTGTGAGGCCTTTGGTTAAAGTAGCTTATACTTACCAATACAGTGGCAACTTACCAATACAGTGGCAACTTACCAATACAGTGGCAACTTACCAATACAGTGGCAACTTACCGGTATTTCATGTTTGAGTATAGAGAGGTGGGCCTGTGAACATATCAGTAACTCGTGTATGAGTGTAGAGTGGGCCTGGGGGACCTTCCGTGTGAACATACCAGTATCTTGCATGTGAGTATAGAGTAGGGGCCTGTCAGCAGGAACATACCAGTATCTTAGGTATGGGAGGTGTAGAGTGGGGAACCTTCAGTGTGAACATACCACAGTATTACCACTATCTTGCATGTGAGTATAGAGTAGGGGCCTGTCAGCGGGAACATACCACTATCTTGCATGTGAGTATAGAGTAGGGGCCTGTCAGTGAAAACGTAGCAGTATCTCTTGTGTGTGAGTATAGAATAGTACGTGGGCCTTGTGGACCAGTGAGATGACTGTCAGACTCATATATCCAGCTTGCACATGAATTAGTCATCTCTCACTGCCTTGTTACACTTCCTGGGTTGTAGCCTGATCAGTCCTTGAAGAAATGGGGGGGGGGTAAATTTCGTGGTTAAATTTCGTGGTTCAGATGAGGTAACGAGAGTTGTAGATCTAAGTCTGTGTGCTTAGTGTGGTAGGTGCGAGTCTGGTAGGATGGAGGCTTCTGTGGGTGACTACATGGGGGTTTACTTTTGCTCTGGAGTCATTTATACTTATTTTATATTTCATCGTATATTTCTAGTGGGTAGGCAATTATCATACTCCACTGAAAGTGGTATCTAGCTTATCACCTCAACTTAACAAACATCAGAGTTTAGAATGGAAGTACCTACCTTAAACTTGTGAAACCCATCCTTAAACCTCGTACACACTATACGTTAGCTGGTTATGACAAGTGTATAGGCATATAGGTTCTACTTTTCTCTGCATACAGACGTTCGGCCGGAGAGAGAGCGTTTAGCCAAGCTCAAGGATAAGGAACTGCTGGAACACGACGCAGAAGAGCTAACCGCGTAGCGATGATCAGAGATCATCTGCATCGTTGGACCGTTCGTAATATGACGAGTGTAGTGGCTACGAGAAATCCAGTAGAACATCGATAGTGAAGTAATGTATTGGCCAAGTACTGAACAAGAGTCTACAGGCTGTGTATATTTGATGTGTCGCACGCAGTTGATAAATTGCGTTGTCGAATATAGTGCTAATTATACGAGAATAAAATTTTCGATACAATAAAAACCTGAAATCAGAATTTACGCCTTTACGTGGTTGCATTCTTACATTGTTAACAATATTTTCGCCCATGACAGAAATCCAATCTCGCTCGGTTTAAACTCTTACGCTGTGAGTAAACTCATACATTTGTGCCCTGGAGAAAATAATGCAGGATGTCACTGGCGCTTTCACAGATGCACACGGCTGCAAAGATTTGAATATATTACACACGCCCTGCAGTATGTAGAACCATTCATCATTCACATTCATACCTGATAGCAAGGGTGCGCGTGGCAAGGGAGGGAGCAATATGCACATTCTCATTTTAGAATTCCGTAACCGGCCCGTTTTTTCTGGGGAGGCGAAAAATCTTTTCATCGAACCTGCGGCACTTCCTGAGTCTATGTGCGGCGGTGGCTAGCTAGGTGGATTACTATACTTATATATATAGATATACTGTATTTATCTGATGCACACCGTATTACCGCAGCAGTCAACTCCACCACCGTCAGCGCTCGCAGCCACCGCCCGCCTACGCACTAGAACCGATGTACGCAACTATTGATGACGATCCTACGTACATGGCGACGACGGGAAAAACACTGCCGGACCTGATGTCATATCCGCGGCAGACGAGCGACATGTCTGTGAGGTATGTGACGACGGGACAGTCGCCGCTAGCAAGCGAGTCGGCAGCAGCGACGGCGGCGGCGGCGGGGGATAACAAGGATAATCCGTATTTCACGCTAGAAAAGGGCGTGGAACCGGAACCGGTGACGTCACGGGAAGACGCGGAGTCGCCGTACGATAGTGACGTCAGCGATCCGGACGCGAACGCGATGAACGACATACTCTAAGAGATCTCCCTGCTTTCCTTGTTTTCCCTGCTTTTCCAGTGCTCCTTGCTTTCCATGCAGCATGTGTTCCGCTATGTCCAGGATGAGACGAAGGCGAGTGATCGCCATTGCGTTGTATTTATCAAGCGTTGGTGCGAACGCGTTGAAGAATAAGCGTTTTAACGTGGAATTCCACGTCTGGCGGTAACGTTTTCGACCTTTTGCGAGCCGATTTTCGCAAAATTTTTCGGATTATCCGTAAATATATCCACTCTTAGTCTTTCTCGCCGATAGATGGCGGTAACAAGCTAGTTGTAAGTAGCGACTATTTCTGAATCAAGTGTAATATTGCTTGTTACCTCCGCCAAGGGGTTGGCAGGAGGTTATGTTTTCATCGGCGTGTGTTTGTTGGTTTGTGTACAGCCTAACTAAAAAACTTATGCACAGATTATCATAAAATTTTCAGGATAGGTCAGAAATGGGGTAACTTAGAATTCATTACATTTTGGTGGTGATCCGGATCCAATTAATTAATTAATTAATTAATTAATTAAATTTCCAGTATAAGTCAGAAATAGGGTAACTTAAAATTGATTACATTTTGGTCGTCATCCGGATCCAATTAATTATTTAATTAATTAATTAATCAATTAAATTTTTCACAGTGAGAGAATTCAGCTGCCTTGGCGGAGGTCTGTGCTCTCCGAGTGTTCTAGTTGTTGATGTATCAAGTGGATGTATACATAAATACATATGTTGAAATGAGTGATTAGGAGGCAGAAATGAGTGATTAGGAGGCAGAAATGAGTGATTAGGAGGCAGAAATGAGTGATTAGGAGGCAGAAATGAGTGACTAGGGGGAAGCTTTATGTATCCCTACATACGTACAAGCTCATTACTTTGCGATGCAGTGCGAGCTAGCAGGTCCCGCGTGGGTGGTGGGGTGGCGCCACCCACGACCCACGCCGTGTATTTGTTGTCGGTTGGCCTGCAGGTTGGGCTTCGGAAATTTCAACGGCGTTCGAAATTTGTTTGTTTTTTCTCCGGAAACGCAGGTCTGTTGCCAAAAACGTGCAATTCACTACGAGCTTTTCCCGTGGGAACATTCTATAAAAATCATCAATGCAGCACTCGTGCCCGTATGCTATTGCCCGACTCTGGAATTTTATTTCCCTCTAAAAGAAACCCTGACACGCGACACGTCTGTCTTTTCTCTTCAATATATGTCGCGCGTATTCCTTGCTAAACCATCACTCTAAAATGCGGTCAGCCAACTTGCTCCGTATGCTATTGCGACGGTGTGGCCCTTGTCCTCGGGCATGGGAACGGTTCTATGTCTTACGCTCATAGGGTCAATGTCTTATTATTAGCTGTTAGGTATTAGGTATTATTAGCTCTTGATATATATGTATAAGCACGTATTCAGGCGCGCACGTAGTCACACAATATGATGCTGCAACGATACACAAATATTACATGCGCCATGCAGGGTTTTGCATATATATATATATATATTATATATATATATTGCAATAACCATGACAGATTTTGATGTATTAAGTAAGTTTCTCAACGATTACAGAAGGCAGCTAGTCTAGGCGATAGATACGAGTACTGTCTGTCAGCAACATAGGGTTTCCGGTCAGGTGTCTCCGGTGAAATCATACTTCCTGAATAACACACAGTGCTCACTGGTTGCGAACCATACATCGGCTACAGCTATTTCCAAGCAGAACGAAAACGCCGTCTGTTCTGTTAGCTTCTCACATATCTGAAAAAGAGCTTATATCTGACTTGGAAACCATTATAGCGTGGCATTCATATAGCAAGCGCCAGCTCGCTAATATTCGACATGTGTTACTCACTTTACCGTGTCACTGACACCATTCTAACGGCGAAGACAAATGCTATTCGATGACCGTAATCCGAATTCGCGGAAAAGCATCGATCATCTAATAGATTACGGATCGATAATCGATCCGTAACGAACAAAAACCCCAGGCGCTCGTCGCGTGGCGAGGTTCACGTTCGTCGTCAGTGACGCGCCGACGTCACCGTCCGCATGATGACGTCATACGTGTGGACGATCGTCGCGTTGTGTCTCGCCGCACGCGCGACGACGACGACGTCGGCAGCCGACGCCTCCCCGTGGCCGTTCCTGGAGGAGCCGACGTCGTCGGCAGGCGTCGAGGGCGGCAGCGTGCTGCTGAAGTGTCGCATCGACATGAGCTACGGAGCCGACAACGGAGCGCATACGTACGCGTCGTGGTTCAACGGCAGGGAGCGGCTACTTGAAGATCGCTACACGTCCGCTGGCAACAGCACCACGGGCGACTATTCAATCTGGCTGAGCGGGCTGGATTTGTCCGAGGATGGTCAGACGTTTTACTGTCAGTGGCGGAACACGAGGGGAGCCGAGATCAACTCGACCGTCGCGACGGTGACCGTCGTCGTGCCGCCGACGAACTTCACGATGAACGTGGTGAGCGCCGGTGGCGCCTCCGCCACGGTGGTGGCGAGCTGCGTCGCCAGCGACAGCCACCCGCGCGCGTTGCTCGCGTGGACCGTCGGCGGGCGTGACGTCACGTCGCTAGCGGAGAGCGCCGACGAGGTGGGCGCTAGAGGCGGCACGTACACGACGACGAGCAACCTGACTTACACGTGCGGAGCCGACGATGACGACGACGCTCAGCTCTGCTGTCGTGCGACCGTCGCGTCAGCGTCGGTGACGACCACCAACGAGACGTGCGTCGCGCTGCCGCCGACGCGTGTCGAACAGCAGCGCCCCCCTACGGTCCTCATCGCCCTCCTGCTGGTTGCCCTGGTCATCATCATCATCGTCGTCGTCGCCGCCGTCGTGTACGCGCGCGCGAAGAGGATCGTCTGCTTCGAGCGCAAAGCAGACGACAGCGCGGCGATTTCTACGCTGGAAGGCAGGCGTTCCTCGCCCGTGTACACAGAGCCGTACGACGCGAAGCGCTCCACGGCCGGCCGTGGCGACGCCGACAGGTCGTCGGCTGTGTACGCCGAAGTCGACGACGTGGCACCGACGCAGCGACGTGGGGGCGCCACCGCCAACCGTGGCGAAGGGGACAGGTCGTCGGCTGTGTACGCCGAAGTGAACGACGTGGCACCGACGCAGCGGCGCGGGGGCGCCACCGGGCAGCACTGGAAAGCAAACAAAGAGGGCGCTGCTGTGCTCTACGCAGTGCCACAGAAGCCGAAGCGGAAGCAGGAATCCATCCGATTGGAGGCTACATATTCGCAGCCGAGTGATGCGATGAAACACTAATATAAATATATAATAATAATAATAACATAAAAAACATATTATTATTTGTTATTATTATATGATATATTATTATTATATATATATAATATATAATTATTATATACCTAATATATAACATTAATAAAATAATAGATATAATGAATAATAACTAGAGCACTCGGAGAGCGCAAGACCTCCGCCAAGCGCAGTCTCAATTTCTGTCACTGTGAGAAAAATTAATTAATATTAAATAATTAACTTGAGATCCGGATCAATTACCAAAATGTAATAATTCTAGTTACCCCATTTCTGACCTATCCTAAAAATTTATATTAATTAATTGGATCCGGATCGCACACAAAATCTAATCATCCAAGTTAAGGCCATGTCTGACCTAGTCTGAAAATTTTATGACAATCGTCCATAACTTCTGTTTGTTAGGCTGTACACAAACGCACAAAACGCACAAACCACAAACCAACAAACACAACGCAGCGTTAAAAACAAACCTCCTGCCAACCCCTTGGCGGACAGGTAACAATAATAATAATGGAAGTATACTCACTATACACACGAATGCCTAGTTGTTAGATGTAGAGCTTAGGTTGTAGGTCACGGCTAGCATTGGTAATACGGTTAGGGAGATTGGTATTTGGTGGTTTTAATTTAAAATAAATAAACTGCAGTGCCCTATCTGTGCAGAACGGGTTGGGGACATTCAAATACTGATGCACATCCTTATGTATACAATGAAAGTCATCCGTGGTTTCCATCACCTTATCTGCGGCTTGTACATAGATTGATTTGAGAGACGTACAAAGGATCATCTGTAAGAAGCACCCCCTCCCCTCCAGCGAACAGCGTATCTACGCAATAAAACAAATTGGTGGAGGATCTGATCATCGATCACGTGCAACTCTCTTCGCGTAT